CATGCCGAATAATGGTTGCTGTAAACCGGAATATTGAATGTAATTCTGAAATCCTCAATACCCAAATAAAACAAAAACAAAATCCAGTTCAAAATAATTTGGTCACGAAATTGCACCAAAACGGATTGCGCGCGAATGTCTTCCGGAAAAGCACGCGTGCCAATTTGGAACTTGACCCGAGCCAAACCTTGTCGCGAGATGTGTCTCGGAGCTCCTATCAAATGACTCCAACCGTCGGTCGAAATTGGGTCCGGATTTTTTTTACGCGAAGACAATCCCAATTAAAATTTGTCCAAACTTGGCATAGGGTTTTTGTGATGCCACCAATTGGAGATTGCCTTGGGATTACCCTCGATTCCCTATTGCCCTGATTCCCTTCTCATCCATACCGTACGCACTTCTGATGTACTTAAAGAGCTTTGAGCTCACTACTAATGTATTAGTTCTAAGCTCAAACTTTGACACATGTTTCTATCATATTGGATGCAGAGAGTCGCAAGCATCATTCATTTGGAGCAATATCAGACGTTCGGTCTCTTCGAGCACCGGAAGTACACCACACTCGCCAGAAACAACTCGGAAATCATTACCAGTAAGTCCCGCACACCACAAATTTTCCGTACAATGCGCTGGCTGTGGGGAGTGGCGCTGATCGCGTTCGTGGGATACAATTTACGGCGCTTTACTGCAGGACTACCTGGTATCGCACTACCAGGCTTACCCGGTAAAATGCGTCCCACGAACGCGATCAGCGCCACTCCCCATGGCCAGCGCATAGTAGAACAAGATGTGGTGTGCAGGACTGGTAATGATTTCCGAGTTGATCTTGGCGAGTGTGGTGTACTTCCAGTGCTCGAAGAGGCCGAACGTCTGAACTGCTCCAAATGAATGATGCTCGCGATTTTCTGCATCCAATATGATAGAAGCATGGACGGTAACAGAGGGCAGAGGAGAGATGTAGGTGCCAAAAAGACAGAATCTAAAAACTCTAGCACTGAAATCGCATGCGTTTACGGACCTCCAAAATCACCGCAGTGGTCGTGGACCCATCGTACCCCACCTCCGCGGATAAATTATCAGAGAAGAACACCTTTGTCTTTCGCTGGCTGCTTTCCGCAATCGGAGACTCAACATCCATCCAAGTTTGCAAGTTGACGGGAGTTGCGGTCCCTGCCTTCGACGAGTGGATTTGCCTGTCCATCATGCAAGGTATGGCACACTTTTGGAAGGGGATGGCAGGGTACGCCATGGGATGGAGGGGTACGTCCAGGGTTGAAAGGGTAATGTGTCAAGGAATATAAGTGGCATGATGGCATGACTGTATATGGGTGGTTCGAGGCAAGAAGGTGGTGTCTCTGAGAAGGTGGTTCCTTTCGAGGAAGGTGGTGCCTCTGCTCCTAAGGCGCCATTACAAGCCCCATGCAACGCCACACCCGCAGCATGTCAATGGATGGCTTCTTCCCAAGCCAACGCTCGTACGGCACTTACTGTTTGTCGCCAACATGCGTCAAGACCCTGTTCTTGACCGTGATGACATGGCAAACAACTTCTGGCCAGAACTTGTAGGGCATCCCAGCAGCCCCCAACAAGGTTTTAGCCGCCTCGCCAAGGGCCCGGTTAGAACGCTCAGCCTAAGGGACACTTTGCGTTTAGCGGATATACGCTGGCGCATACACGCTAAACGCTAAACACAAGCGAATACGCTATACGCTAGCAGAATTTTTTTGCGGGCAGCTCGATCGAAAAAATTGTGAATATGCGGAAAGTTGCGGAATTGCACGACGAGCATTTTGCCAAAGTCGAAATACACGTCCGTGATTTGTGCAAGCGTGGACGGCAATTTCCGCGCTGATCGGCAATTTCCCTTGAATTCGCGGATCGGACGTAGGAGGGAAGACTCTCCCTAGATCAAATTTGTTGTATATCTGGAAGTGACGAGACGACTGTACAAATTTCAAATCTCATATTGGTTGGATGCTCTAGATGCAATGCGGTGAAGATAGGTGATGGGAGGGGGGATTGGTTGGAGACAACATTGGCGACTGTGGGGTACAAATCTCAACTTCGACCTAGGTTTCCCTGTTAACGATCTCTCTTGCGCCTCCTCCTACACTATGCAGAGAAGATTCGCGCAACGCTATTTGCAGTCTCGCCTTCGAACTCTGTATCATAAACCCAATTTCGGGTCGGGTTGAGGGTGGTAATCTTATTATGGGGAAAAACATTACCTTTGAAACATAACTCCCTAGATTTCCCCCTATAATAGCCCTGGCGGTTTTTTTTTGCCCTGCCCGGGAAAGTGTTTTCCCTGCCCGAAATAGTGTATGTCCAAATGGCCCCCTACGTGAATAGCGTACATATGCTAGCGTATATACGATAAGCGTATATACACTATAAGCGTATTTGGCAACTTAGCGCTCAGCAATGCCGTTATGCTGCAGTGTTCCAGAGCAGGTCAGCTGATGTCGGATGCCATTTTTCATGAAAAACATGGTGAAATCTGTCAACGGGAGTGGTGTTTGGCCCCGTCCTCGCTTGGGCGGAAAGGCGCGGGGGGGACGACGCACAGTTAGGACAGGCAACGGAGCCGTTGGCAGTCAGTGACGCGGAACGGAGGAAAGGCGCGGTTGGAAGAATTCTGAAACTAAAAAAAGAACTCGCAACGGATCACAACAGGGAGAAATTCATAACAGTATGCTTGCGTTCGACTAAGGGAATAAAGAGTACCGCGAATTGATGTATGCTCACGTCTAATGCCATAAGAAGTCACAGCGAAAGAATTTTCGTTTTACAAATATCTTGTAAGATGATGCGAGCGAACGAGAAGAAGATCCGCATTTCTATGCACAAACTGATAAGCGCTAGAGCAAAATCAACGTGACTCAGTCCTACCACACGAATTCGCACAACCGTACTGCGTAGTCCTACCACACGAATTCGCTTGAGCGGAACGTACCGACGGCTACAGTCTGGCGCCAGAAGCTCCCACAGGCGCTGCACTCCCATGGCCGCCCACACACGGGCTCAGATGCTCACGCTGCGCGACCTCGCGATTACTACTACTAGTACGATCGTGAGCAAAACGCTGATTGCTGCGTAAACATCGCTGCGTTGTTACGTGTCCGCTGCTTCAAGAAAGTTGACAGCCCCCTCTGAGTTCTGAAGTCAGTGCGCGTGTGGGATTCAGGAATCAGGCCCTGTTGTAATGCAAGGCCGGAGGAGAAGCAAGCAAGCGTGCTTCTGAGGCTCGAGGTGGAGGGAAGGCAGATGATCTATGGGAGGTGAGATAGTAAAAGGATGGATGCATAAAAGTTCAGAAAAGAGGAGGGAAGTTACTCTCTTTTATATATAAATCGCTCAATACCCTTGTTTATTGCCACTCCTCGCATTTCCCTTTCTCCCCTCGTTCATTTCTCTGACTTAGATATTCCGTTGAATTCTCGTGTTGCAGATTGGGACATATTGTGTCAGTCAGAGACACATCCGTCCGTGGACACCATATTATCAATCACATTATGATTCAATCCGTGAAGTAAGATTTGTTTTGTGAAATATATGTCTGCTTGTTCAGGTGCATGTGGACAAGACGTTTTTTAAGTGCACACTGCACACAGACTTCTTTACGATGTTTTTTCTTACGCAGCCCTCTTTTTTTGAAATCATTTATTGAGAAATGCATTAATATTGTGGCTCTTTGATTCTTGCCTTCCTTCCCATCCAGCACTTTCACTTGAGATTGATGGAGGCAAAAACGGAAGCCACGGCGATCTCCAGGCGACGGTCAATGGCTCCACAATCTAGGGAGCTGCAGCTGTAAGGGGAATGGAGATGGGGGAGTGGGAGAGTGGAAAGAGGGGACAGCTACCGTAACTTGAGGGACAAGAAGCAATGCATGGAGAGCCATCCAAGGCAAGGGTTGGCAAGATCCCACTGTACCATACGGTATGGAGTGATGATGGGTTGGGATGTGTGCATGCAAGTGTGCGTATAAGAGTGCCTGTACATAGCTGTGCAGCTATTGGGTGGGTGGGCCCTCCCCTCCCAGCCCTTTCTCTCCTGTTTGCAGCTGCTCAGGCTAGTGCCGTGATTTGTACATAGGGTAGCTCTAGCCTAGAAACAACTGCTCTTTTTTTTACTTCCCTTCCATGTAGTGCATGTGGGTTATGTCTAATGCCATTGGAAACCCAAATGGGTTAGGTCAATGTGGGGAGAACAGTTGGGAATCAAGGAACTTTTCAAGCTGAAGATATAGGCAGAGGATACCCGAAACAACACAGGGCTGGGAAGGGGGGTGTGCTGGAGCCAAGATATGAGAGAAGAGGAGCAGCGAAGAGAAGTGGGCACGGAGGATTCAGAGGGAGGGAGGAATAGGGGAGTAAGGCATGAACAGTGGGGAAGTGGAGGGAGGTGCTGAAGGGCAAGAGAGAAAGGGAGAGGGGATGTCTCGACAATGGGTGGATGAAGCAGTGAGGGCAGCCCATGGTGCGGTGGCTGTATATGTCTAGATGGTGATGGATAATTGAAAATTAATGTTGGATGACAGGTGGTGTAGTGGAGCAGGGGAACAGGGGAGCAGAGAAGTAGTGTAGGAGATCGGAGGATTTGTGTAGCACAGTCAGGTTGTTGTTTTCCGCAGTGTGTGCTGTCCTCACCCGTGTATCGGGCCGGCCTCTTAGTTGTTGGTGGCAAGGCCTCAATATGCAGAGATTCAAATGACAGTTATTCAGTTATGGTATTTCAGATAGCAACATATGCGCATTGAGCACCTTCTTGAAGTGTGGCATGAGGGTTTGAATCTACCCAGGTACAAGAATTATCACCTCACCGCTAATGCACCTCCAATCTAATTCGATTTATCTCTTTTGAAAGACATTGATTCAGGGACTGGTGTGGAGATGTGTGCTCCACTGCTGCACAATGCACGGTGTGGAGCAGAGCCATAATACGGTACCCCAGGTACAGATCAGCTACAGACCAGCTACAACCCAGGTTCAGCCCAGCTACAACTCATCCCTAACGTCCAGGTCTACTTGGTCTTTGCTCCTCTTGGTCTTACTCTTCTTTTTCTTCTTAGATGCCTTCTTTGCTGCCTCCGCCACTGCTGCCTTCCTGGCAGCTTCCTCCTCTGCCTCCTTGTTGGCCTGCCGTGTGAGAGGAAAGAGGGAGGCGAGTGAGGGAGGAGGGGGGTGAGTAAGAAGTGAGTCATGCATGGTCAACGAAATCAATACAATGGCAACATGCTGACCTGCCATGGCAATGTGCTAATTTGCTATAGTAACGTGGTAAGTTGCGATGGCAACAGGGGTCAAAGGGCAACATGTGCTGACCTGCCATGGCCGCCTTTTGCTTACCTGCAGAATCTTGTGCTCCTTGGAGGCGACGGCATGGGCGCGTGATGCCATGCGAGCAAGGTAAGATGCGTATGAGGGGACGGGCAAAATAGGAGACATGCAAAGAGGGGACACGCGGATGGGAGAGTGGGGATGCCATTGGGTGCGATGAGGTGTGTGTGGTGTGAGATGGTGAGGAAATGCGAGACAGATGGTTCGATGGGCACATGGATCCAAGGAAACACAATACTGAGGATCACAGCAGCAGCAGCAGCAGCAGCAGGCACGCACCTCCTCTGCAATCGGCTCTGGCTCTGCTGCCTCATCTGCTGCCTCATCTGCTGCCTCATCTGCTGCCTCATCTGCTGCTGGGGAGGACTCCACTGAGGGGCCCGGCAGGAACGATGGCAGGCGCTGGCGGAGGGGGGGATTGGAGGGGAGCAGCAAGGCGGAGAAGGAAGCAGAGTAGAGGGAGTTGACTAGGGATGCTTTGGGGTAGGAAAATCTGAGGGAAGAGTGCCTCGTCTGTTCGACTTAAGGTTAGCAGACAAGAACGGTTTTCCTGGAAATAATAAAATTGAAACGCTTCCTCACATCGAGGCCGAAGAAGAGACTGTCACTCACATCGAGGGGGAAGGCGCGGACACGGCAGGCCAGCAGCGAGTCGAGAAAGGCGTCGAGGATGGGGGGGGAGAAGGCATCTGGCAGTATGGCGCAGCGCATCTTGCGCAGGCTCACCACCACAGCTGTCGGCAGGTCCTGCTGGATCACGTCTAGCAGTGGGAGGACTCGAGATGCCAACACCTTGTGCTGCCCAGCGTCCAGCCACATGAAGACAAACTGGCCGCCCCGCAGCCACTTGGCTGCCACCCGCTTGAGCTGGTCAAGAGGGGAGTCGGTGTTGAATAGACCAACCACACACAGGCTGCGAGAGGGGAGAGGCAAGGGCGAGGAGAAGCGGGAGAGAGGAGAGGTGAGGGAGAGGAAAGGTGGGAGAGGGCAGAGGTGGTAAGTGCGGCTGCCACAGCATTTGGGGGTGCCCCAGTGTGCGACGTAGGGAAGGCATGCAGCAAGGCAAATGGCGTGTGACTGATATGTCCCCTTTGACATGCAAATAGTATCCAATGCTTGATAAACGCAGCCCAGAACGCACCGGTTGGAGTCGACACATTCTGTGTGAAAGACATCCTCCTGCCCCTCCTTGCCCATCCCCACCGCCACTATCTCTGCTGTTGGCGCCGCAAACTGCCGCGCTGCCGCCACCAATTGGGACAGAGAGGAGAGAAAGGGGTGGAGAAAGGGTGGAGACGTGACATGGTGCCAGCACGACCATGCAACTTTCAGCAGTTGGCATGGGACAAGGGCAGCACCATACCTGAACCTCACGCACTTGCCTGCATGACCAGCAGCACCACACCGCCATACCACCTGCATAGAGACTAAGCGGGCCAGCACAACCACGTACCAATTGGCACTTGGCATGTGACATGCGCAGCTAATTGTCACACTCCATCTCCACCTGCATGAGCTGTGGCGCCACAGTGCGGAACTTGAGCGGGCCGGATAAGTCCGCACTGTCAGCTGCACCTCGCCCTCCCTCCCTGGACTTGGCGCCGGGAACATTATCGACACCTGCCACGGTGCAGAGCGATGGCGAGGGTGGAGAGGGGAGGAGAGGGGTCAACTGGGGTGTAAGAGAATGTAGGACTACAGTTATGAGGGGACGATGGGACGCGTACGCAAGGTGTGAGATGAGAGCAGTGACTCAGCATGGTATGAGATGGCATGTGCTGGCCAGGATGCAGCACAGGGCTCACAGGCACCCAGCACCAACATGCACCCATCACTCACAGGCACAAATACATTCACATGGGGGAACTTGGCAACTTTAAACCGAGCAACGAACTTCTTCGTGCCAAAGTGCTCTCCACCAGCGACTTTCCGCAAAGACGCTCTCGTGCACCTTGGGCTGCAGCGGGTTGGTCTGAGTGAAGACCTCGAGCGAGTCAGCAGTGATGTGGCGCACCAAGGAGTCCGGGAAAGGGCGTACACCACTGCTGTCATCATCTTGAGGGAGGCCGCCAGGGACATGCGCTGGTGCGGGTGGTTTCGGTGGGGGTGGGGAAGGGTAAGAAGGGATGAGGCGAAAAAATGAGAAGGGGTGAGAAAGGAACTACCATGCTGGCATGGCACAGATGGGTGGGAAATGGCACATGCCAGTGAGAAGGCGGCTCTACGCTTGGCGCATTGGTGTCGAAGAAGTTACCATGTCATCATTCCCAGCATGTGAGGTCACCTCGGGGTCATTCTCCTCTTTGCCGTCTTCCAAGGGATGAGGAGAAGGGAGGGGAAACAATGAGAAAGAAACTCGCGTTTTGACATGGCACAGACAGGTGAAGATGGCGCATCATCCCCTCCATGTGAGCTCACTTTGGGTTCGTTCTCCACCTTGTCGTCTCCCAAGGGCAAGAGCAGCGCCTCTCCACACAGCTACTTCACCCCGTACTTGGTTGCGAGACTAGGGGAGAGGGAGAGATGGGGAGAGAGGGAGAAGGGAGGGCGGGTTGAGGGGGGGAGAGAGGAAGGGGGGGAGAGAAGGAAGGAGGTTTTGAGGAGGACTAACAGGAATGAGCAAGGGAAGAGAAGCAGGAGTGGGCAGGGAAGGCAGGGCAAAGGGCAGCAGCTGCCAACGAGCATTCATGAGGGACAGGATGGGGAGATGGTGCACGAGCAGAGGAATAGAGGGGAGTGCATGCACAGGGTAGGTACAGATATGTGAGGGGCTTAACTAGTGGCATCTTCATCTGTATGCATGTCCACCACTCCCACAAAGATCTGTTGGGATGAGGGAAGATATGGGCAGATGAAGGGGGAGGAGAGGGAGATAAGAGAGTGAGCGCATGGGGGGCAACACATATACTCCATGCACGTGCATACCATCCATGCCATGACGCCATGCACCACTTCATCACAGCATGTCATACATGGAGTGTGGGTGGTATCAAGAGAGCATGCCACGCCATTGATTAGTGGTTGGTTTAAGCCCATGCCTTACCATTCTCACAAGCTCCTCTGCTGTCCTCCCAAACTTCTCCTTCACCTCCCTGCACTCCTCTTCACCAAACTCGACAGCGGAAAAGAATGAGAATGATCAGAGAACGTGAAAGAGTGGTGACAGGGACATGCCACGGAGTCAGGACACAGTGGCATGCCATAGACTAAGTGCGAGAGCCAGGAAGAGCATGCACATCTCACCAGCAGATAGGCCGTGTGCCATTATGCGAACCTCAGCAACAAGTGAGAGAGAGACACTAATGACACATCGCACTCACCAGCAGAGGAGGCGACGGCCACCATCCACATCTCCTCGCGCTGCAGCTGTTAGAGGGCCCTACGACAGCAAGGGCCCTCGACGCCCGTTTGACTCGGCAGGTCAGCTATGAACAACCAAGACGAGCAGCCCAACACCGACCTTATGACTTGCGATGGTTGCGTGGTGACGCGATATGACTACGGCAGCACTAAACAGTCAGTGTTGGGGTGGTGTTAGTCTAGGGAAGTCGTAGGCACGAGTCTTGGGAGTTGTGGAGGCTTCTCTGTGAGTCACGCTACTTCTAGCTGTGCTGGAAGAGAGGGCGTGCTCGGCATTGACCCCGCTGCTGAGTTGGGTTGGAAACGTGTGGGGCGCGTTCACCCACCTGTACAGCACTTTCGTGTGGGTTGGGTTACTCGCAGCGCCACGCAACATTTGTGCATCTCTCGCCTGCCTATATTTGGTTGTGTTTGCTTGTGTGTTTCATATATGAGATTACATTTCTAGTGAAGTCCAATCTCTACTCAAATTCTCACTTAGTCATTTGAGACCAACGCTACCCAAACTCTACCGACATGCTGGCGCTACATCATTCCCAAAGTAGAAACTATCTCGCAATCGCTACGCTCTCGATTCTATTCCTTCAGCACCATCTCCCTGCTCACATTCGCCACCCTCATCTGCCGCACCCACCGCGCCTGACTCACCCCGCCTCCCTCTGCCTCGCCAGCGGTCGCTGAGTCAGGCGGCGGGCTCGGGCGGGGCAGCAAACTGCTCGAGGAAGGCTGCGATTGGCTCGGACTTGAGCGTGCCTTCGTAGAGCTACCTGGTGCCGTCCACCTAAGGGGGGGGGGGGGGGAAGTGGGAGGAGGGGGGGGTTTGGGGGGCTTAAGTTGACGGGAAAATTTAAGGGATGGTCATCAGCAGTGAGGTGGCACTGCTTTTTGGGCGACTCAAGAGTGGGCCGTCGTAGAGCTGCCTGGTGCCGTCCACCTGCTGGGGGGGAAGAGGGAGGGAGGGGTTGGGACGAGACGGACAGGTCACATGAGAGGAGAAAAGCTCGGGAGCAAGGGGAGGAGGGAAGAGGTGGGGCTGTTAGTGAGACCGTGGAGTGGGTAGTGAGGTGTGACCGGGAGGTGTGTGTGATGTGGGGTGTGAGGCGGGGTGGCTGGGCACCTTGTGGAGGAAGAGCACGGGGAAGGAGGCAGCGCCAAAGGAGGCCGCCAGAGCCTCATCAGTCAACTTGGCCTGCGCAAACACCAGCCGCTTCCTGCCATGCCCCGTCAGTCGACCATGCCATTCATGTGTGCCATGCCATGCCATGCCATGCCGCCACACGGCATAACCATGCAACGCGCCATGCCATGCCATGCACAGAATGGCAAGGGAGGAAAAAGTGTGGCGAAGGCAAGTAATACTACAAAGCGAGTGTAGCGAAAGGTGTGTAGGGAGGTGGGAAGGGAGGTGTGAAGGGACAGTGACACTACAAGAGGAGAGGGCAGCAGAGGGGGAGCAGAGCTGCAGAGGTTTGACTGTAATGTGAGAGGGACACCTGAATTGCAGCAAGAGGGCCTTGAAAAGCGGCGTGACGGCAGGCTTGGTGCAGAAGAGAACCACCTGACACGCAGGGGTGGAATGGCGGGCAAGGGGGGCATGGGGGATGGGGAGCCATGGGGAGGCAACGGGCATGGGGATCAGAGATAAGGGGATTAGATGCACAGGCTACTTGGCTGCAGGCACGCAGGCGTGAGGGGTTATTCATGTGTGTGACAAGAGAATGGGAGGGGCGAACCTTGTTGAGGGTGGCGTTAGCAGAGAGGAAGGCATCAGCAGAGGCGGCAGAGGAGATGTTGGTCACCAGGTCGTGGGGCAGGGCGGCTGGTGGGAGGGGCGGGAGTGAGGGCACAGGCAGAGTGGGGAATCAGGCATAAGAATAATCGCATATAGTGAGGAAGGAAGATGGGCAGAGTGGGGGGAAGGAGGCATACCTGGGTGCAGCACGTGGAGACAAGAACGGGGATGAAGAGGGCAGAGCTACTGATGCTGGAAATCACACAGCGTATGTTTACATACAAGCATCCCCTCCTTTTCCCATACTCTCCCTTCCATTTCCCCCCCTCCAGATTTAGGCGTGATAGGGTAGCAAACTCACCCTGAATGCAGGCAGTTCCTGAAGGCACATGGTAGGGGTGATGCGAGAGTACGCCGACGTTCGACATATTTCTCATTTCCATATTTTTACTCTATCTTATTCTCCTTATTTTCCTCTTTCATTTGCACTTTATTTCACCTCAATCGGACGGCTATTCTATTTTCTAGAGCTTTCAGATAATTTCACTTATTTTGTATTTTCGGCACCGACAATTACATTATACGGCACCGACAGCACCGACGGTGGTGTACAAGGCGTAATCTCGTCATAATTCGAAGTGCCAATGGGCTTGCGTGCTTATGCGCACTAGTGATTATGTATTCTAGAAGAGCGCGTTCCCGAAGGTTCGGATTATCTGCTGTTTCTATGTATTTCTGAGTATAAATACGCCTTGTACTCACCTTTAGTGCAACATTCTCGAGTGGAAATTCGACCCTGTGACATGTGAGAGGGGGAGAGGAGAGGGGAAGAGAGACGAGGTGAGGAAAGGGGGGTGCGGGGAGAGAGTGAAGAGAATAGATTGGTGACTTGAGGGGATCGAAGAGCGGTGATGGAGGGAGGGAACATGGCAAGGCAAGCAGGTGGATTGGGACCAAGCCCTGATGCTTTGCACAGCAGAGCAGAGGTGTGAAGAGGAGGGTAAGAAGCTTAGCACATACCTTGATCTGCGCCTGCATGTACACGCATCGCAAAACAGGGGAGAGGGGAAAAAGTGTTGTGCGAGTGTGGTTCGAATCTTCCTCGTGTTGTTGGGGTTGGGAATCATGCGAGAATGTTGCTCGCATGTGGCGTGGGAGGGTTGTTAGGGTGTTGCGTGAGTTGTGAAGTGGTGCTCGTGTTTCTGGCCACTCGTTATCAGATGCTGCAGGCTCGGCTGGATGGTTTGGTGGCAGCAAACAGTAAATCGCGCTGTTCATAATGCAAATGGCTGTAACAAACATTGCTCTTAATTTTAAAGCGTTTAAGTATTGTTTTTGTTAAACACGCATGATATATTTTTCCAGTGGATTTTGAGAT